ACCACTAAAGTGCACATTCTGGTTTGTTTATCATTTCGCAGACTGATGGCCTCAAATATGACAACGAAACAGGAGAAGTGTTATGATCCGAATGACCCAAAACTTAAGTTTGTCGATAGAGAGGATGATTTGGATTGTAAGTAACACTTGGGCACTTTTCAAACTGGTGTCAGTGACGTTAAATTATATTTTAGAAATAATAAAATCAAATCATTTTAAGCCTTTGTATTGACATTGTGCAATGTAAAAATAAAACGGACATTAGCGTTTATTCCTGTGTGTGTGTGATTGTTCTCAGTCTTGTGTGAAGGTTTCAAATCTCTCAGAGCTCAGATGTCCTGGTCACGCTGTGACCCCGACCTCTCTCACCAACTGGTGTCGCAGGTTGTTGGACCAGGTAGGCCACTGAAGGTTGTCTTTGTTAAAATAAATACATTTAAAAAAAAACTGCATAAATAAAAATATACCTAAATAAATAAGAAACAGAAGGAATCAGGCATGGTGGCAGTATCCTGATTTTGGGATAAACCAGATAATAAATGAATAATTTGGGCCTTAATTATAGAAGTTAATGGTTTTAATGCTACCACCCACAATTATTTTAAGCACACGTTCGTGATAAACACACATGTGAATAAATGCAGAAAACATATTAATTCACTTAAATAAAGAGATCCAAAGCGCACTTAAATAAATACCATTTTACTGGAATGATTATTGTCATATAGGTGAGAAAGAGAGCGAGAAAGACTGTTGGGTGAGCGACACTAACTGAAGCCAACAGAGGGAGTGGTGCACTTAACTTATCTCGATAGAAACCACCTCTGCTTTCAAGGAACAAATAAAATGGGACAGAAATGTTCAGCTCTGATTTCTGTCTGCGTTGTTGTCGCTTGTAGCATTTATGTAATGTAACTCTTGCTTTAGTTAAGTGAAAGTTTCATAAATGGGAGTTTCTCAATATGTAACGCAAATGCTGCAGACGCATGACTCATCAGTGTGTACACAACATTTCAGTATATAATTGTCATGGTTCTCAAGATCTGGAGAGGTCGTGGTGTGTGTATTTTTTGTCTTA